TTTTATTTAATGGTATTATTAATTCTGCCTTATTTACCAAGGAATGCCTTAGTAAAGAGAACAAAAAGCAAACAAATTATATGTTTGTAATTTTTTATAATTATATACACATAATAGATTTAACAACATTTCCACTTTTACTGTGCATTAAAGAAACTGTGTCCGTGTGGTTCCGGCATGAAATAAGCCAACCTTTCTTTTTCCGTGGCTCGTAAGAAGTGACTTAGAGAACTTAATGGTAGAGCGGTGGGCAGCAGCGTCCCTGTTAAAACATCTTTAAAAGCCTAACTACGGTTGTCAATTCGCCTGCCAAATATGACAACTACTGGCAATTCTCCCCTTATGAGGACAGCTTAGATATATTTAGCAGTCGACAGTTAACGACTTAAATGAATGAAAAAAGAATATTTTTTTCATTGTTTCATGCACAAAATAAATTTAACAAAATTTCCAAATTACAAATTCTCCCAATTTTAAACCTGAATTAATAAATCGATTTCAAGTTCAAGAGCAATTTTAAGTAAGCATTTAAGAAGCTACGTTGATTAATAATGAACCTTAGTTGAACTCAAAGGTTCACGTATCACTTGAGATCTGAATACATACTCGCTTTTTAATTAGTGAAACATAATTATATTTGACTCACTGATTGTATTGGATTGGAGTGTGAACAATTAGACATAAATAAATCAATTTCAATTCAGTGAAATAGATTATATATAGCTTTGTCTAAATGTAATGAAATGCTTGAAACGTGTCACTTGTATCGGGTTTAATCTACATTGTAATAATGGTTGATGTTAGTATGATTCGAATACAAAATTTAAAGCTATTAGTAGATAGAAACCTAGTACCTACAATGAAATATACATTAGTACATATTATATTAGTGTATTGAAAAATTTGTATTTGTAAGCAGGAAATATCAATTAAAATATTAAATTACCCCTTTTCCTTAAAATGGAATCATGCAAAATTTATATCCAAGTGACAACTTTTCTTAAAATGAGCTATTTCCGAAATGTCGTACCGGCTTCTTCATATATATCACGTCACGTTAGGGCCAGATTTGTAATGTGAATAATAAATCCAACGGTAATGGCCCGTCATTGCTGTCATACTTGTTTTTAATAAAAAAATATATTGTATCGGATGAGAGGAATGAATTTATTACATTATATTGTCATCAGTAAAATAAAAGAATCATTATGACAGGTAAAGGTCCGGATGGAAGGACTGATCTACAATGTATGTTCCGTATTTGCATTTTATTATTATTTTTTTGGATAGGTAAATACTACATGTACATTAAAAAAATATGTTCGTTTTTAGAGGTCGGGTAAATGTTTCTTTATTGTCTCGTTTCCGAGATATCCCTTTTTTATGGTCTTTTATCAAAGACTTTAAACAGTGATCATAAACAGATTTTTATGCAATATAGAATGGCAAATAAACCAACCATACTCGCACATTGATGGAAAACTGTAATCGTCTTCTATAGGCATTATCAGCATTAAGAACGACATTGTAATCCCCAGGATACCTATCATGCGTTACTATTTCTTATTTAAGTATTTTATGTCCAAACGTGCCCTGTTAGCTTTTTCTTCAAATAAGGTATCTATTTTACAATCTAAATAAATAAGATGTCATTCTTAACAGAAATAGTATAGTAACAATAATTCTAAACAAAGTAGTTTAATAGGTAAATAGATGTATGATTACATAGCAATATTACTCATTGAAATCTTTAAGAAGAAGATCATTAATGCTTAATTTTAATATAAGATTGAATGTTATTGAATTCATGATAATAACTGCAAACTAAATTGCTCCTTCCTCACGACGGTAATATTGAGAAGGATCTACAAATTGGTCCATTTATATGAAAATATTGAAATCCAATTTCATTTGATGGTCTCTTCTATCAAATAATAATCACACTTCCTTCAGCTTTTTTATCATTATGATAGCTCAAGTGTGGCATTCATTATTTAATAATTAATATTAATAAATGCGATCTATTTCAGTATATTGAGTTTCCTATCATGAATGAATATTATAATCTTAATACGAGCACAAATTGTCTATTTTTTAAAGTATATTATTTAAAAACTGGAAGTACAACTAAAATTATTATTATAAAGAAGATGTAAACAACTTCGAACATAGATTTCCTTAAACTTAGAAAACTTTTAACTATCTACTTCTCTATAGAGAAAATTAAGTATATAGCAACATTTTTAGTACAGACCAATATTCAACTAGTAGTTATTGTTAGTAAAAAATTTTAAAATTGAAATTTAAATTTAGTTTCTATTTAGTAAGTATGATCTGTACACAGGCACCTACAAAAGATTTTTCCAATATCAAATTCTGCAAGGGAGAGGCTTTGAAATCCGTTATGTTTATAGGTAGGTACATACCTTTATATTACTTTTCCAATATTTCTACTTTGGTTTTAGGTGATGAGAGATTGTATAATGTAAACAATAACAAACACGAAAGCTTAATAAAGCGGGTATTGAAGAGCTTTACTCGAAGCCACATAAAATTGCGGCCACTCAACAATATAAACAACATTTTGTTTGCTAGCTATGAATATTCCGTAATTCTTGTAGTGGCAATCTCATTAACGCTAATAAAGAGTCCGCCTGAAACTCTTCAGGTCTGAGCTCTCCATTAGTCGTGTCTTTTCTATCAGCTTATTTCGTTAGTGTCTCTATAAAAAAGGAGAAAGGGTTCATGAATACTTGAATTAATTGGCGTCATAGTATATATATATATAATAAAATTGTAGTTAGATAATTTCTGTACATTAAAGATAAAAAAATCGATACGAGAGGTCTTATTAAGAACAATTAATAATAAAATAATTTTTTTCTTTTATTTTGTCTTTCTTTTTTATCTGTATACTAAATTCGGCATCACGGAGTAATTACTATACCAAATTGGATGCTGTTTTCATAGTTGTATTTCTGAAGATCTAATTTCAAATCTGGTATGTTTTTTTATATCTTAACATGTCATCTAGAAATAAACTATTTCATTGGTTTTCCTTCCTCTGAAATCCACGCGTACAAAGTGTTGGGTAAAAGCTAGTAATACATATATTTATATACCTACATATCTTTCTCTGTTCAATGTATTGGGTATCTATTCTCAAATACTTTTAGGCAATCTTTGATGTTCTGTTATCGTTGATATATCGAACATCTATATGTTCAATATATACTGTAATATACAAGAGAATTTCTACGTAAAAACTATTTTTCATTTATATCTTTGTGTATCCTTGTGTTTAATTTTATTCATATCTATATTGATTTTTTCACCATATGGTCCCGGCATAGAATAAGCCATCCCTTCCTTTCCCGTGGGTATTGTAAGAGGCGACTAAGAGGGCGAGAGATGGGCAGCAGCGTTCCTTTTTAAACATCTCCAACGCCTAAGTGCAGTTGCCAATCCGCCTGCTAAACATAGCATCTACTAGCAACCAACGGTTATTTATTTTTATTTATAATTATTATATTATGAACTTATTTACTTCCATAATCTATAATATATACGAGTATATAAAACTAATATACTTCTTTATACTAACTACTTATTATATTGTATATCTATATTTATGTGTAGAACACTACTATACCGTTGATGAGTCAATTAGAATATGTTATATATGTAATCGTATTACATGCACTTTACTTAAATGATTCTAAAAGTCTAATCTCCTAAATAAATTAAATACATAAAAACAGCAAACTTCTCATAAACCTCTTTTTGTTATTGAATTGTTTTCTCTTTTTTTACTCTAAACTCCGAATTTGTATGAAAATTACAAAACAGTATAATAGTTAAAATTGATTTGTAGAACCTTCTACTGACTGTGGGTCGGATAATAACTTCAGTAATGACAAACAAGGCTGACATTAATATCTTGTTTTTTTTTCTTATGAATTTAAAGTTGAATATATACATGCATATATCAAGTACTAACTTTTTTTTATCTCAGACTACTTTTCTTTCTTCTCTCTCATGTACCGACAGGATAATTGGTTGGGCACCCTTTAATTTTACGCTTATCGATTTCTGTGTAAATCGACTGTAACTGACAGACAGGTAAATTAATGATTATATAGGATTTATAGTTAGTAGTAATACATTCTAACAATTAACAAAATAATAAAAACAATTTAGGAGTCACTTAGATATCAATTATTACAATTAAAATATCATTAAAGAATAATAGAAGAGAATCAAATACATATTGATTATTAGAAAACTAGATATATACATTTATTCTCTGATAGATGGCGTTAATAAATGAACGCCAAATATGGTATTTGGTGTTCATAATCCTTTCATCAATCAAAATTAAATCATTCATCAATCATGCTTAATCCCCTGGGTATACTTTGTGAGATCCCGCGCTGCATTATCATAATTTCATTCTTACATTTGGACATAGTTCTAAATTATTTTAATAATATGCTTAATTGACAATACTGTTCTTTTTAAAATATTTACCAATTTTATGATTTAATTTACAACCAATTGGGTCACTTAACTTGTATTTATCTGTGTTCACTTAATGTGTTCATGTTTATAGGGGGCAGTTACCACTTTCCATCAGGTAGGCCATAAACCTGTTTTATATTCTGTCATAAAAAATACTTTAATCGTTTAGAACTCATAACTATACTAATAAGTATAAAGTCCTTAAGTCTATAAATTTTTACTTGGGTAATGTCTATTAGTCTTACCTATTTAATTACAGTATTAGAAAAAATATCATTGCATATGGATGCAACTAAATATACTTAGTGTTTGCAAAGTTTTCACTAAGATGCGATATTATATACAGTACAATGATATGTACTCTAAAATATTAGCCACTTACTACGTTTATGATCTTTGTATAGTTATATCTACATTATTTATTTTTACGCATTACTAAATGCATATAACTGATTAAGATTATTTGTTTTTATTGTTAGGAAGAGAAAGATCAACTACTCACAACGAACTGCTGGATTACACAGGTGTGGATGGACTATCACCTGCGATGGAACATCAGCGAATTCAACGGCATCGGAGTCATTAGGATACCTTATGAAAGAGTATGGAGACCAGACATCATTTTATACAACAAGTAAGATAATATTTTGTAATACATGTTGATAACAAAATATTGTCAACAATATTTAATTAAGAGACGTCAAAATTTTAACCCAAAATCGCGCCGACTAATAGAGGGTGGGATGCGTATATATGCTCAAACTGAAAAAGTAAACTTGTCTTTATTTATAAAGCTTATTTTTATTTACTTAAAACAAAAAAATCTTTATTTTCATTAGCAAATAGAATAAAGTATAAGTAATATAGTGCGAGAGCGAGTGACTCTCCTAGTTGCCTCAATTTTACCCACTCCTATTGTGAAATAGCAATTTGGTCAGAAGGCTAAAGTAGTCAGCAATAACTAATAAAACAAACTTGAGGCGAAAGACGCTACATAGCGTAGTACAGAATTGGCTGTGAAAACGTTGACTCAAATGTTAGTCATTAAGACGAACATTTGAAATTTTTTTTTAATTCTACTCACTTTTCGATTCAGAATTAACACGAGGATAACGATTATTTAATCGTTATCCTTATTTTTTTTATCAATACCCACTATAGTCTTACAATGGCATTGACATAATCTTATTAAGCTAAAAGTTCTAATATTATCTGTAATAAAGTGCCTTGTCTGAAGAAATAACTTCCATAGACATGACAATTTGATTAGTACAAAAATATTGGAGGCGACTTAAGCGGGTCATAATGAGAGTGTGGGGAAATTAGCGGAAAACGTAATGTAAGATTTTATTCCGGAAAAAAGAAAAAAGTAGTTTCTTTAATCGTAACAAAATTAACACAAGACCAATATGTGAGCGGTTTGCTCACTTTTCTTGTGCAATTTGATCGCAAAAATAATAATTAAAACCACTTCAGAATTGATCAAAGTGTGATAGGTATATAATGCACGTAAAAACGAGCACAGAACATCTGAGCTCGATCTCTGTGCCCGTCTTAAATTAGGGAATTAAAAAAATATTACAAGTGAAAATGTAATCATACATTAAATAATAATACTAGAGACAATAACTTAAATATTATTAATGGATACAAAATTGAAAACAGACACCAAAAGCAATTAACAATTTCTGTACTTATATACGAGAATAAATGTAGGGTTTAAGCTTATAGTTTAGGTAAGTGAATATAACTGGGGTCTAAGAGGACGTCAAATTACTAAACATCAACTATCGATTAATTCTTATTAACTTGACAGCTTTTAGGATCCCAAATTGTTAACACAATGAATAGGGTTATGACTTTGTAGAATAGTGATCTCACGAAGAGCGATCGTAGATGCCGCGAATAGTTTTGCTGTAATAATTCCTTTAAAAAACTATAGTGTGCATCTATAGTAACCTATGATGTTGAACATGGTACATTATTTTACTACTTTCCATCTGTCGAGCTATTACCATGTGCCAATCTCGATATTATAATAAATTTCATTAATTTCGTCACCATTAAACTGATAAGTATAACATAACGATACTATTTGAGTGACTGCATTAAAATAATTTACGTTACTCGTGTACGGTACTCAGTATTCACGTCTGCGAAACAACGGATATCATTGGAGTCTCAATATATCTTCGTTCTCGAAAGTATACAGTGATGCGAATAATTTACTTCATTCTATCACTGTTTCTTCCAGATTATATGAGTCACTGAACTCACGTTGATCTCACATTGTTTTTCCTATATAAGAACTATGCGCTTGTCGACTTCCTTCTGTCTTAACCACTATTATAATATTCATAAATTTGTTATGACGATCACTTGTCGTTTGTTGACGATATCTTAACATTTTCTCCCTTCTAACTTTAATAGTTTTTATAATTAATCTCATTTCTTTAATCCTAATTAAGGGTTCCTCGTTACTAATTTGATCTTTCCAGCTAATTATGTCTTTCCTTCTCCAGCATCACATTTGAAAGACTTTAGATTTATCTATTTCTTTCTGGGTTAGTGTCTATGCGCCAAAAGATATACTCTAGATAAGTCGTTTAATAAGTTATTTCTATGTAATAAATCATAATCCTATCGTATCAGTGTATCATACGAATATAATGTCATTTATATTGATACAATCGTATTAATATGTGTATGCACGCAAACTCCAAATACTCGTAGGTAGACCGATTCAAAGCAGGAAAATAAAATTACGGGCCTACATTCCTATCACGAATACACTTTGATTCTCTTCACTGAAACAATTCCAAGTCGGTATTCCTGTTTGGGATAAGTAAAGGAATTATATTAATTTAACGTTGGAAAATATTTTATTTTTTATAAGGAAATATTGCCTAAATCGAAAAAATATAATTTTTCGTGTCTCACAAAATAAACCGTCATCAATTGTTACAAAATCAATTATTTAGATCTAAAAACTGAACCGATTTCTCGAAATTTTAATGAGCCCAATCTGTAAGTATATCCTTTCAGATATAAAGTGAAGTTTTCTAAATCAGTTTAAAACTGACAGAGATATGAGGTAACAAACGAATTGGGAACCTCCTTCTCTTTGAAGTCGCTTGAAAATGTAATATTGTGACATCTGTAAGTTTCCAATATAAATTTAAATTTCTTTGAAATAATTTATCAAATAAGAATTAAGCTTTGGTATTTGATACAATAGTATCTTCTAATGTTTGGCTAAATTTGCGGATACCAAGCACAAAAATGCAGTCAAAATCATTAGCATCATTTTTAAGAGCATTTTACCAGTAAATATTTCCTCCATAGATTATTTTTAGGATTTATGTATACAAACAACTGTATTAAATTTGAAATAAATAAGCTATTCTATTACGTTCTATTCTAAAAAGACGTAGGTCGAAAAATTATAAAACATGAAAAATTATAGGGAAATTACTAGCATAACTACTTAATCCTTAAGAGTATTAACACAGGTTTTTTTTCAATTTTATTCTGATGTTTATGAAATTATGGCACTTCCCATTAGATAAGTCGTCAGTGTATTTATATTTCAGGTAATACAAAAATGTTTGTTCCAGCGCGGATCCGAACTATCGTTCAGCGGTGATCAATACTAATGTAATTGTGAAGAATACTGGTGAGGTGACGTGGCTGAGTCATGGCATTTACGTATCTGTATGCGATATAAATGTGGAGCAGTTCCCCTTTGATGTTCAACTATGCACGATGAAATGGGCTTCGTGGACCTATGACGGATTCCAGGTAAAACTTTAATGTGTATCTAATTTAAATTACCTGATAAATAATGCACGCTGAGAGTTTACTAAATACATTGACTTTAGGACACGAAGCTTTAGTGTCAATTTAAATTTCTAACTCTCTAAAGACAGGATGATAATAAAATAAATTAATCTGAGACAGAGAAAGAGAGAGAGATAGATTGGATACAAATAAGGCTGCCTTATTGTCTTTATATAAGTATATTAATTGTGTTTTTTAATTCTTATGTTATATAATAAAGTATATTCATTTAATCATTTATATGCTTGGTAAAATATATTAAGCAGGTAGCTACTCGCATTAATTTGCAATCACTTAGCGACCACTATAAAAAATGCCTCTACATTTGATCCCTTCACTTCCGCATCAGGTATACCTGTTACGTCTGTTTCTCAATAATTATATACACAATTCATAAATATCCTTACCAAAATAAATGAATAATCTCTATATAGTATAAAACAAAGTCGCTTCTCTCCGTCTGTAAGCTAACTTTATCTTTGCTTAGCTAGAAGTACCTTTAAAACTACATAACAGATTTTAATGCAGTTTTGATCAATAGATAAAGTGATTCAAGACGAAAATTTCCTTTTGAATCAGTTAATTTTATATGTATAGTTTAATATTGTTTTGTGTTAATTTATTGAAACAAGGTGATAATTGTTCAAGATATCAGAAGTAATCAAGTCGACTGAGAGCTTTCATCAAAAATACTGTCCTATTCTTTTACTAACTGAACTAAAAATGTAGTAAAATAAAAATGCATACATGTTTGTTGACATGCTGAGACAAATGGATAACATTTCAACCTAGTTGGTTGGCTTTTTGCTAGATTTTGTATCAAAAAATTACTGTTTTTTTTTTCAATAACGATAATTATAACAACTTTTTATTAATATTATAAATAAATCTTTTCTATTTATTATAAACGCGAAAGTTAAATTATTTATCTATTTGTTTATGTGTTATTTCTTGGCACTTTAACGTTTAAACAAAACATCATGAAATATGATGTACACGTAATATTTGTGATAAAGGGCATATGTTAATTTTTATTCCGGTCAATAAACATATACTAATTAAACACACGGAATAGAAAAACTACTTAGCATATAGATGATTAATTTTATGACCAAACTAATTCTAAAGAGTTTTCCAATGAACAAAAATCTTCCACGAAATGCACCATTATAGAAATGAACGTTTGAAAGGAGAGACGGCCTGAGCCGTTTATAACCCTCGGCTGGCAAATCAGATTGTATTTGCGTCCGTTGCTAACAAGCAGTCCTCCCCAGTGAGGTTGTTAGGGCCACTTTATCTTCATATCAAGTTGCAATTATACTGCGATTCTCTGAAAGTTGCAGTTATCCTTAAATTAGAAGAAACAAAGACAAAAATGTTAGATATTTGCAAAATATGTTTTAATATAATAAAAAGCAGTTTAGATAAAATTGTGTTCTTATTTAATTATTACTTAATAATATATACGTAAATATTATGACCATTTGGTGAAAACATAAACAGACAATGTTTTCCCAACTTCTCAAGTTTTTGTCATCAAACTTCACACATTAAGCACTGGTATAAAAAAAAAGATAAATAAAAAACAAAAACCAATATTTAGTAGTTTGGCGTCGTGAAATAATTTAATAGACGAAATCAATTTAAGAAAAAAGAAAGAAAACTAAAAACATAATATACAATTAAAACTGATTAATAAATTAATTAAAACATAATGTTAAGGTTACCAATGTAAAAAGTTGGAATCACAAGTACTATCGTTAATCTAATCTAGCCAAACCATCATTTACCACCAGAATACATGGTTTTTGTTAGAGAACATTCGTCTTCTTTCTTTCACTTGTCTAATTATTTCCGGTCAATTTAATATGACTTGTTCTTGTGGTCCTTCTCTTTACTAACGATCAATTTTATATATAGTCACTCCTCTACTCAATCTTCTGTAATAAGATATTATATATAGGGGCACACTAGCTGTATTTCGTGTATTATTACATAATGTATCTTATGTATTAATGTAGGATATTGTTAAAAACTATTTAGTAGTTTAAAGATTTATTTTTCTTAAAAATAATATTGTTGTCAAAACTTTGAACAATAAAATATTTTATCGGTGTGAACTTAATTTTACTTTTCTCTTCTATGCTATAACGAACCGATTTATATGCACAAATATTAAGCAAAGTGTGCTGTTTAATATTATGGCGGTCGCACTAAGAAATTTTGAAGGGATGAGACAAAAGAGAAAAGTGTTAGGTCAATGTTCACAAAATGTATTTGAGACAACGTTAAATAATTCTCAATATTCAACTATTGATTTTACAACTCAGTATCAAGTACAAATAACAATATTAGATAAAGACATAAGGCGTATGTTACGAGGCGGCAATGAAGATGTATTGAGTAATGAAATCAATAGCGCTTTATAGTATAGAGACAAATGGTTACGAATATACACTATATAAAGAAAATAGACTCTAAAGAAAATATGAGTCATAAAAAGGCTTTAAATTTCCCAAATTAGAACTTAAACACTTTGATAGCAATATTAAAAATTGGCTTACGTACTGAGGACAGTTTTCAAAAATAGATAAAGATCCAGATGTTAACCCCACAGATAATTTATTATGGTCAGTACACAACCAGTACTTAACTACAACCAGTACTTATTACGGCCAATAACTGCAATTACTGAACTAAGATCATTAGTGAAAGGATATGTTTCATCTTCCTATAAAGAATGCTTGGATCAGTTAACGAGCAGATTTTCTAAAGTAGAATTGTTAATCTATGTGAAATTATTTCATTACACGATTAGTTGAATGTACAGCTAGGAGCGTCTGATGCATAGAGATTTACCAAAAATAGGTTTGCTGCTTTCTTATTTCCTGTAATTAAAAGTGCTTTACCATAGGAAATTTTACAGTTATGGGAGAGAGCTAAAGACATTACTGGAGATGTAACGACCGAATTAAAAGAATTGTTCATATTTTAAAAAGAATAGTAGAAACACAACTAAAACACGGCTAAGACTTTTGGAGAGAAGTAGAGAGACAGAAAGATGAATACTCTGTGACTGAACCTTTTAACCAAGTCTAAACTAGTCTCTAAACTGAAACTCTCTTGTATTTGGTGTGAGAATGGTAATCATGAAACTTTAGTGTTACAAACTTCAGAAGATGCTATTGATGAACGGCGTGAAAACTTTAAGAAACAGAAAATATGTACAATTTGCGTGGGAGATAAAATATTATAGTTCTTTGCACTGGCAAAAAAGAAGACCACAATGATAGTAAAGTACCGAGCATTACAGCTAGTTTGTCGGCACCGAGACACGGTGTGTGGCTCACCTTACTACATGAAACTTATTTTACATACCCTGTGCTTCATTATCAAAAACATTTTGATAAAAGAGCACAGCGGTCGTAAATCAGACAGAACATTGTAACACGTTTCAAAATACCATGTATTGGTAGTCACATTTTTTTAGTAATATACAACTATCATCAAAAATTTTTATGTATATGACCATAATGTGCATAGTGTAGATAATAGTTTCAATTTTAAATTATTGCATTAGGACAATCTTGTATGTGTCGTAATATTCCTAAATATAATAAAAATGTTTAAGATAAACATTTACTTACCAAACACAACATACATAATAATCAAACTTCTGATGACGTAAGACTGCTTATTGGTGCTGATTTTTCAGGTTTAGGTCTCATAGGTGATATGGCCAAATTGCATGATTCATTAGTAGTACTAAACTCGCTCCAAAATAGCAAAAACTTTAAATTACTCAGTGGGCTATGGAGAGGGCTATGCTCGGAGTTTCTATCTATGATAGAATCCGAAACGACGATATCCATAAAAAAAAAGTAACCAACAGCCCAAAGGATAAGCAAGCTGAAATGTTAATAAGTTGGTTACATAACTCGAAGAGCCGATAACTAATAGGGATGAATAGAACCTCAAATACATTACAGGGAGTCAGTGGATACAGGTGGCTCAGGACCGTTCCTTATAGTGATCTATGAGGAAGGCCTATGTCCAGCAGTGGACAGATAATAGCTGAAATGATGATAATGGGTCAACTCGACTGGACCTTACGAGTTGTTCCTACCTCATCTATCATTAACATGATGACAACTCAAATGGGTATGGTTTGTACTTCTTATACACAGACTAAAATTAAAAAAGTTTGGGCTCGAGGGAAGACCTCAACATCAACAGGGTTCAAAGTTTGGCATTTCCAATATTATGCTAACACAGGTTGAGTAGATTATTCATTTGGAGTAACGTGTAATATGTACATATAAAACACACACACACACATATTGAATATCATACATATTTATGTTACATGCACACCAGCATATGTTATTATATATATATATATACACTTAATGTTACAATTTTTACTATTTTATGGCAATTTTAATTTTTCTTATCCAATTTTATATGTATGAAAATATCAATATTTATCTTCTGGCGTGAAAGATGTTAAAGACTATTTGGTAGTTGATAGATTTAGTTTTCTAAAAAGTAATATACAATAGTTTTCAAAACTATGAAACAATAAAAAAATCTATGGATTTGAATTTAATTTAATTTTTCTCTTTTATGCTATAACAAACCGAAAAAATTAAGCAAACTGTGCTTAATAGGTGTAGTCTACCTGTATACCAAATTTCATTCAAATCCGTTTAGTAGTTATAGCATAAAAAAACCGTTTAAAAATAACAACTGCCTATAACATTCATCAGTTCATCTTTACAAACATTTGCATTTAAAATGTTAAAAGAATTAATAGGGTAATAGGATTATACTTTTATTTTACATACGAACTTATTTATTACTAGTATAATAACTTATGTATTGTATCAAGTATCTGAAAATTTTCTTTGAGTGCAAATAGGAAACCAAAAAATCAAATACTTTAATTTCGTCAACCCATTTATATAGAAAACGCTCGTAAAAAAAATAAATGGATGAAATATGTATGTATCGTAAGCAACTAATATTTTATGAAGTGATGCAATTCTATTTGAATAATGTTTGATTAATCCTGAATAAGGATCTTGAGGAACTACTCGATTTATTTAATTAATTTTGTGATAAATAAAAAACGTTGTCCTGTTATACGAACATTTTTAATAAGAAGTAACTTTTTCTGTTATTTGTGGTCACCATGGCAACGCGTGCGTTTCTCAGTTGCCAGTATTATTATCTATTTATTTATCCGAATAAGTGAACTAAATAAACCTCTATATACTCGTATATAGTAGATGAAAACATGTTTGTATGTATACAATGGACATATAACAGTAAGATATTTAACAATGTTATTAATTCAACTTATTTTTTCTTTATTACCTTATCATCATTAGTTCAGCATATTCATGGTACCTGAACACAGGTTTCTCTTACATTTCGCCATAAAATATTATCCTGAATGACCTTTCTGCTCCACCGGTTATCGATAGATTTAGCTATGTGGGCCGCCTACAAATATGGACTTAAATTGATGATAGAGCCTAATTTACCTCGACTAACGCCACAAGTAGTTTCATATAAATTGATATACTTGCATCATCTACTGTATTTATATCTATCTTTCTATGTTATTCTCCCCACATCTCGTTTATAGTATAGATAGATATACTCTTTATTGTTTTCTTCAAAAAGTTACAATTGTAAACTTATTAGAAATACAAACATGAAAAATTGATATATTTTTATTTACTTAAAGCCTAATCGCGGTTGCCAACCCGCCTACCAAGCTTGGCAACTACTGGGAAAACTCCCCTTTGTTCAACAGTGGACAGTTAACGGATGATATATTAATAATAATACATTTTAAATAAACTCATGTTGTAATTTTAAATGGATTAATTAATGCTTAGGTACATAGTATAATTAAGGATAACATAGTAACATATAAAAAACATTACTCTGTTTTGTGCGGCAGTCAGGTTACAGGTATTACAGATAGTAAATGTACATATTTGCTAGTAGTATTATGCTAAATTATACTATGAATAATTTGGGGTATTTCTAAAATATAACTTTAAGATTTAACAGATTTTTTAGCCAAAGGATATGTATCATCGAGATGGTCACGCTGTCAGATAAAGAGTACATTGCACGATGAATGACCTAAACATGCCTTAAAAAATTGTTATATATCCTATCTATTCATACAAATATCTATGTCACAATCTGTCCTTTTGTAACAAAATAGTATGGGATGTTGCGACGAGAAATTCTGAAATACGATTTTGTATCCGCGTCGTATTGTAGTGACAGTCGGTTTATATCTCAATTGTTTGGCGTAGTAGATAGGTCGTTTCTTGATTTATGTTTACAATTTTATCTGTGATATCAGTTACAAGTAAAATATGAACATCTGATATTGGAAAGGGGTTGCGGGATTTTATATTACTTCAATCATCAAGTATAAATATTGTTTAAACCTCGAATATAATGATGCCAATGATACGTATATTACGAGTACTTATTCATATATATATAAAGAAAAATATATTAAAAATGGAACTATTGTTTTGACTTATTAGGCCATAAGGTTAGTTCATTCACAAGCACAATGCTCGGACGGAAGCTTGAGTCAAATGAAAGTCCAATAAAATCTACAATGGCCACTAACACAATGTTTCGGCAATTTCCCTTTTCATATTTTGTGTAATTAATTATTTACATTTCGACCATTGTTCGTTTTACCTAAATATTTCGTATATTATATATATATATATATATATATATATATATATATATATATAGTCTACTTGTATTAAAATGTTCAATGTCATACGTTTTTTGTGAATATTAAATAGATCGGACTTAACCTGCAAAATTTATGAAGTTGTGAAATATTATGCTATGTATATCTATCCGATATGTACAAATTGACAAACATATCAAAATTATAAGCTTGTCTCAAAAGAATAAGGATATTTAGTAATTTTATGGTTCTGATTTACTATTGGGCTATTAAATTTAAAATTCTTAATGTCTTAAAATATTAAAAAAGCAAGCACCTCATATTTTTTAAAGAAAATTGATATCTCACTCACTGGCCACCTATATCCTGATGCATGCTTCGTTATAGCTCAGTATATATTATATTTTTTTTTGTTAATTTTGACTTTTAGTAATAAATAATAATATAATCTTTTTATTAATTTTTTCTCTAATATCAGAGTGATTAAAAAATGAAACTAAATAACTAATTACCTATTTAGATCGTAAATCATATTTATATCAAAATGAAATACTGCGTCATTCTGTAAATACCTACTTATGATCTTAATTATAATCATGGTAACGAGTTATTTAAACCACACCATCGCTGTCCGTGGAAGTCTGATTTGAGTGATTTATATTCACCATAGTGACATTCCAAATTTAGCTAGCTTTATCCAAGACATTAATCAGGTTTTTATTAAAGTTGGAGTCTTAATTGAAATATTATATTGTTAAATTTAATTGTGTTTTTATTATAATATCAATAAATAAAACGTTTAACATGAATATACCTATCCGAAGATAGATTTTCCTCCCAAAAGTCGCGATTACAGGAAATGAACTCTACTGATACAAGAATTTAGCAATGTTTTAATCTTTAAAGTTTAATATAATTCGTAACAAAATTCCCGAGAGTTAAATTAAAGGACGTAAATTAAAAAGACCTCTGTAATGCTTTTCATAATTGTTGTTATCATTCACAAAGCCATGGTTGGCATATGTGATGCGTCCTGACGTGATAAACCTTTGTCACTAAAAAATGTACACATCCCTTCACATTTTTTATATTAAACAATAAACAGACTGCCATAATTCATTACATATATTTTATTACATGTAACATGCATTAGTTCTTTTTAAATATATCTATCTACCCGTATCTACTGTAAAAATGGTAAGACCCGAAACGTCTATTATTATTTGTTTGTTGTTTAAATTAACTACGAAATTGGTTGGTGTAGTAACTGCAAATGATTTAGTCTTAATTTCTAATTATATGCTAATATCTTAATTTTTATAATCTGCTATAAGTTCATAATTTGTATAAACACAAGTCAATATTTATATAGTTAAACTTTAAAAAAATAAGGCAATACTTGAGTCTCTTACCCGTTCTTCTCAGCTGCAATTGCATTCCAAATGGGCGGTAGAATATTTCTTTTTCTCTTTATCTACCTTCTAAGTTCGACTTAATACCATTCGTGGAATAGAAATTATATCCTGCTAAATGTTTATCTGGATGATGATTTGATCTTAACAGCAAAAATAATAAAATAATCTTTAAATTTTACCGATGTTTAAGTTTGTATCACAAAATACGTTTAATCGTTCCTGGAAATGTAAGTAATAAAAGAGAATTCTTTCGAGCCGCACAAGAAATTGTTCTCCGGAGATTATTGTTATTATCTATAGGTACAATTTATTTTTATGAAGAAATACCGACGATTTTTGGATTGGCTCCTAAATCAGACTCATTTGACTTTTAAATCGAGATCCCTTCCTAGTATTTTTAAAACGACATTTTTCTTTAAATTGTCTTCGTGAGTTTATTAAGAGTTTATAATTTACTGAATGTATAGTAAGTATATGAAAGGACTTCTTTTTAAATACCAGATATAAAACGTTTGGTACATATACATATTGTTTGCAATTTACAGTAAAATGTCTTATAATTTGAAACCTGAAATACTTTAAGATAATAGTTACATTTCATGGTATATAAATTTACATACTACTGCTATTTCAAATAAAGTATAAGCATTAGTTTCCCGTAGTTATGTAGGTGTCATAAATTTGATTTGAATTCATTATGACGTAAGGCGAGTCGTATATTGTCACCTTCTCTTGGATTAATTGTATTTTCCCTCATTCTTAATACTCGTGTAAAGGTGTCGTCCTCTGGTTTCAAGAGTTAATAAGCCGCCTTCGTTGTACTGATTAACTTTGTAAAGCTGAAAACGAATGACAATTATTTTTAAGATAATCGAAACAAGAATTTAAAAATTCAGATGTCAAGAGCTGTCTAGCTGCTCGTATCAGAGTTACATTCATTAGTGTCATTGTTAAACCAAATTAATTTAATCTAATCCGAGCAATGTAATCAAATACTAAGTAACCAAATAGGCATCCACAGAAAATTTTATTTATTTCTATTGATAAACATATTAAAACATGTACTATATTATACAAGTGTTTATTTTCGAATCACCATGAGTGCAACCATGGCACGATTAATCAGAATATCTGTCAATATATTGTTACATTAGCAATAAGATTCTTCGTATCAGAGCAATAAGCAATTAGGAGCTACGCTACGCTAATAACCATGATGATTTCACTTCTTTCTTGGAAGAATAAATAGGAATGATAAGTATAGTATGTAACGTAAAGTGACACAAACAATCCGCAATTTTGCGATAGTGTTGGTAAAACGGAGGATCTGTCCGTGAACTCTGCGAACCTTTCTTAATAAATCTATCATGTGACTGCGCGGTTTATTCCTAAATGGAAAATCTTTTTTATATTTAAACTATTCTAAATATTTTACCCAAGAAAGAATATATTCTTTGTATAAATTGTCCAATTTTATAGATATCTTATATCTTTCTGTAACATCTATTAGTATACCTTATTGATATGTTTTATTATAATTGTTGTTAATTTCTAAGTTATTGTTTATCCTAATTATTTCTATTTCTCAAAACAGTTGGACCTGAAAAAACAATTCGATGAAGGTGACACAACAAACTACCAGACAAATGGCGAATTCGATCTGGTGAGCTTCGAGGCCATAAGGCACAATCAGTACTACTCGTGCTGCGTTGAGCCCTATCCTGATATCACATACGTCATCAAGTTAAGAAGAAGACCCATGTTTTATGTGTTTAATCTTATCTTACCGTGCCTTCTCATTAACGGAATAGGTAAGAAGAAATTTTAAATTACTAATTAATTAACTTAATATATGTAAACATATTTTTATTACCCTGAGAATAAAGTTCTATTTCTATTAAATATTATACGATTCCATAATAAAATTCCATAAATACATCAGGTGGCAAGTATTTCGAAGTTGTAATTTAGGAATTAATTGTGTTTTTTGTAATGAGAGATTAATCTGCTAGGGAATTTATATTAAAATACTTACGTAATGAGCTGGCTTACTGGTAGTGTAAATAATTATATAATACTGTATTAATTTGAATTATTAAAATTTTAATCAATGTTTTGTTCATATTGAAAATTATGAGGGACTTTTCACATCATAGTTTTAGGTATTACCTTTTTGATTATAAACACTTTAGCAAAAAATTACATCATTGTAACAAATATTACTAATATTTCGTTTCTACTAATAGCATTCAAATTTATATGTACTTGTATATTATAGCCTCCGAGCGTTTTTTGTTTGTATCAGCAATAAAAATGCACAATGAAATATATGAAAGTATTCTCGTAAATTACGTTCAAATTAAATTTGTTCATTGTATACTTTCTTCAATTGATTTATTTTAGCCCATTATTTATTTGAGACCGGCGTTTTGTTTTTCTCTCCCTTTTTTTTTCGTTGTCAACTGGCATTATGTACTTGGGCTTAATTGTAAGTTAAAGCTAAATAATATACTATATTCAATATAATATAATTTAGGCAATAATTTTTTAACCTTTAGATTCATTTAATAATACCACTTTTCAATTACAATTTATCTTTAATAGGTATGGCATTATAAATATAGGCATTTTTACCTATTAAAAGTAAGCTTATATTCGATAGTGTATATACACTCTAACAAAACACTCTTTAATAATATATTTATTGTAACATTGGACCGCTATATTACAATTTCGCAAATTGTAATAAATTTTTTGTTATATTTGTAAAATAATAAAATAACAATCTAATACTGCTTCGTAATTAAAATTATTCAAGTTTCTAGGTCATAAATAATATCGAAAAATGTTTTATATTATTTATGTATTTATATATCAAGTTTATTAATATATATAGATATATTATTTACTTTCAGTATAATATATTTTCGATATTTAATTTTTTGATCAAATTAACCATAAAAAATTATACTTATGTTATTTCGTACAAATAACTGTTGTTAAAGAGTTCAGATAACCTATCTAAAAAAAAAATATTAATTTTTTTTAGCTCTGTTGGTATTCTACGTGCCGTCTGAATCGGGAGAGAAGGTCACACTGGGCATAAGTGCTCTGCTATCAATGACTGTCTTCCTTATGACTATCCGCGACACGTTGCCACCTACAGAGAAAACTCCGCTTATTAGTAAGAGCATTCAATTATAATTTGAACTATAAATAAGGAGGAATTACACCTGTATCCTCAGGAATGGCAACACATGGGGAGTCTCGTGAGCGAAACAGTATACTCTGTTACGTCCATGGTACTGCTCATGTCTATAGACGACGATTACCACTTTCCATCAGGTGGGCCATTAGTTTGTTTACTGTTCTAAGTTGCATAAAAATATATTGAAGATATTCAATAGTCTTTAAAATACCGCATAAGACAGTTTTTACAGATGGTGGGTATATTTTTGTTTTACCGATAAAAGAAAAAGAAATTACGATTGTTCACCTTAACTAAGATTTTGACTGTATGGTGCAGTGATACGCAAGCAAGTTGATTAAATACTGATTTATTCATAGAAAGAATAAATGTAACAGAATGTTACTGGCCAGTGTTTACAATATTATTAGTGGCCAGTACGTGAACATAATGTATTACATACAGTACACTATAATATTCATAGTACTGTTTATATGTCCGAAGATGGCGGTTACCGCTTTACTAGTTTAGGCAGGTAGGCTACTTGTTTGTTAATAATTTACAATAATAAAAAAAAGAAAACCCACTTAAGGTTATTGATCTTGTTCAGTTCTACATTCTAATTATAATAATAATGAATAATTCAGTTATTTTGAAGCAAATCTGAAAATTGCCTACTTATTGCCTACAGGTCCTAAACATTAATTATTTAATCGGATAGAAATTATAACTTGTTAAGATACGGAAAGTTTGGCTTCTGTAAGCAGAAGATATATTTTGTAAAACTATGTGAGGCGGTCTTAAAAAGTTTGTCAAATTTACAAATATTTTATCTAGATGTATTCGGACGGACTAGAGCTGAGTTGTTTTATAATTTAATACAATTATAATTTCTTGTTAAAATTGTTGGAAGGAAGTTTGCGAGCCATATTTTCCATAATTACTTTTCTTGCATTCTGAATGTTTGTATAATCATCAGAATACTAGGTCAAAACCGGCATTAAACAGTTAAATTTCTACTGAACAATATTTAGAAAGGCAGACCGCTGACTGTTGATTTTGCATAATACGGATATTCATTTGATTAATTTCATAAATTAATACATATAAAAGGTTTTATTAATCAAATAATATTTCCAGCCGAATAATTTGATTTGATTAATAAAACCTTTTACCCTAAATCGATTTGATGATCGCGATGTTCATATGAATAGTATAAAAATTTCATACGAGCTGTGCTTGTAGCTTCGTCCAAATCATCGAGATAATTTAATTGAACGAGATAAAAATCAGTCTTATATAATTTATCTATAACAAATAGAACATGTACTGGTATAGTATATACCTACACCCAATTTCATGACAATCAGTTGGGCCGTTAAAGCACCAAGATACACCAACAAAACAAACTCATTTTCTCTTTTGTAGGTATTAGTGCGGATTTATTTCGACCCTTGGGTTTCCCCAATAGTTTAGTTTAATTCTGATCCGATTCACCTTGGATATGTCGTAGGACAATGAGAATACTGGGGATTTGCTAAAATACTCAGGGAAATCGTCAAATTAAAACAAGTTGATTATTATTTATTTTTATATAAAATAGGTTAATGATATTTACCCAATTTTCGTAAATTTAATGTAATGAGATGATGTGTTACGTATTATGAAACTATAATTTTTTTAGAAATATACGTTACCACATTTCATTTTTGGATATAATTCATAATTTCATGATCTTCCTAGGTGTTTTATGAAATTATTAATATTCTTATTTCTCTGCGACATATATAAATAGAATCCTTTTGACACTATATAAAAAGCTCCGTAATATATTTTTTGTGACATTGAAGGTCATCAGTCAAACAGCTCACCTGATGGAAAGCGGTTACCGTAAACTATGGACGTGTGCAATACGAAAAATGTCACGTGCGCATTGCCGACCCGGACGATATAATGGCCCTCATGCCGTCGTTTCTTAGTTATTATTATTTATTTTTAGGTGTTTTAACTTTATTTATTTCCAGGTCTCTACTACGGAGTTAGTACGTGCTTAGTGTCGTTTTCAGCTTCACTTTCTGTAGTCACTCTCAATATATCATACAGGCGAGTTTTTCTTTCCTTTTTAATAAATTTAATTTTGGTAATTTTATTATTAAGATGCAGATTTCCTGGATAAATTAAATTTTAAATATTAAATGTTATAAACATTACTAATCAGGACCATATCGCAGAAAAAAAGAAACGGAAAATTAAATTTTCCAATATTTTGCTCTTTAACATGACTGAGTTTTGTACATTCCACAATATCTTTACGATGCGATACAAATACAATATAAGATCGATATAATATTTTATTGCTTCAAACATATTGTGTGAACATATGATATTGCTCGTAGAGGAGTGAGAGGGCAGCCTGTGCCGGCGGTGCTGCGCGAACTCGTGCTGCAGCGACTCGCGCGCCTGCTCTTCATCAACTTCGACACTGACACACCAAAGGTTTGTCGTGTATGTACTAAATTCCTTAAGGTTTTTGCACAGCGCAGGACATACTTGCGAAACGCGCTGATGCGTGGTTTACAATGTACTGCCCTGTATGAAAACTACGGAGATTACACACGGATAGTATGGCGTGTGTGGGCTGTAGCTGGGGGAGAGGGCATTGAAGAACAATGCCCTACTTAAAGAGGCCCAACAATAATAATAATATTTATTTATTTAGACAACATAAGGCCCATTTTGTTAGTTATAGATTTACTTGCCAATGCCCTACCTTAAAATGAAAGTCACTTAATTGTGCTCTCTACCCTACTAAAAAGTTCTTTACTTAAACTTGGGTCTAGCTATAGCCCTGAATCCGCCTTAAACTATTTACAGGAAAGGGAAACATTTATACGCTTTTTGTTAACTTAAAAAAAGGATAAGAAAGACCCTCTGTTGACCTAATAATGTTATGCGTTAGCTTTCCATATTATACATTTCCAATTTCGCTATATTTATTTTATCATTTTTATTATTATTATCGATTTATTTTTTTATCCCATTAAAAAAGTAATACCTTTCAGGTAGTAATTGTTTTCAGCCTACCTTAATGGGAGACAGGCGTGACAGATGTGTATGTATGTAGCTTACCGGACTCATCCCTACAAATTTTATTAAACTTTGTTCGACAATTTGACCGTGAAAATATTTTTACAAATTCTATGATTTTTCCCTTTTCGTAGAATTATTGCATATTCATAAATACCGCTGACTAAGCAGTGAATAAAATAAAATAAATTATATTATTTCAGAGCATTACTAGCTGTAATCTGCGGCTTCTCCCATGCCATAAAGTATCCTATGTATTAAATTAGAATATAACCTACCCATATACTTCCTTTTAAAATTCATTCAGTAGTTTTTAAAAAATAGAGTACTCTTAAAAGAGTAACATATCTATCTATCTATTTATCCATCTATTCATACCTCCATCCTTGCATCTTTCTTTACAAACTTTTGCATTTATATTAATAGTAGGAATTTGGGGTCTATTCAATAATATAAGAGGAAAATGTAATAGTAATACATAATTATGTAGTATTTGACACGACTTGAATATAGACGATTTATATTAGAAGTAATTAAATACCCGATTTTCAGAAGACTCTTTAGGTTGTTAATGTACTCGTATAATAAAATTAAATCATACCATTTTAATTATATTATTGTACTTATATTTATAATTATATCGAAATATTTCATTTTCATAGCCACGTAAGAAGAAGAGGGAGGGGGGGGGGGCAGAATTAAATACATTTTTTTCATATTGCCATCACTCCAATGTATAAAATGGTGTCTGATAGTCAAATATTGTTTAGTATTCCCTGCGGCTACGACCCTCTTCTCACGTTTTTCGGCTCAAATTCTTTTCCAATGCGATCAGAACATGACAAAAGAATAAACACACAATGTCCCGCAAGATTACTCATATGAATCTGTATAAAAATGAATAAAAATAAAATCCTGCCTTTACTTTAGTTAAATAATTGTTTTTATTTCTTAATATACAATACTACTGTGTCAGGTATAAATAAGGTCCTTAACCGTTACACGTATTTGATAAAATAAGCACAGATTTTAATTAAAACTGTATTAGTATAACGTACAATTATATTTTATATTTAATTTTGACATTCTAAAATAATTTCTCAGCAAAAAATTAATAAAAGAAACTTAATATCGTTGTACACTTACAGCAGACATCCTTTGGTCTCAAATTCGTAACGTTTCTAGAAAACTCAAATGGATTGATTCGGTTTCACAATTCTTATAGTGTTTTTATTGAAAGTTATTTTTATGAAACTAATACTTAAGTGATAAACAATTTACGTATTTTTTTTATCAAAACACAATACTTTGTCGCAATGGATTATTTATTCATTAATCAGTAATAATATTTAAATTAAAAGTTTCAGTATTTCATAGCTGAATAATATTCCAATTGTATTAGTAGACCTTATACTTATAAAATTAATCTTTTCTTACGCGAACTCATTATTACCACTTCTGGAGAGAAAGAAAGAAATAATTTCAATTATCATATAAGCCCTGAGATATTTGTATTAGATTTCCGTTTGGTAAAAATATAAATGTCATGACAATTCATGCCGATTTATTGTGTAGATAAAATTTTAAAGACATTTATAATTTGATTAGGGTGACAGCGGTCCGGTGGCGACGGGCGGGGTCCAAGTAAATCCACGAACTGGGTCCCGATTAAAGACAGAAGTGCGCTGTGACGGCGCACCATTGCCACCCGCTTCGCCACGCTTCGCTCGTCACAACCACAACCATTTGGGTAAGTTGGAGAGAAGCTAAGTAATCAAGTATAATTGATATTCAACCAGAAAGTGGTGTTTTTTCTTTTTTCTTGTTATATTAGTTACTTTCTATTCAAATATATTTTGAACTTTTTATATGGTAATTAGTATTAATTTTTTACCAACTTCAAGAAGAAGGAGGTTCTCAATTCGGTCATGTATTTTTATGTCTGTTACCTCATAATTCCGTAAGTTCTAAATCAATTTGGGAAATTTGTTTTTATCTGAAACGAAATACTTACAGATTTGTCCCATAGAAATATTAAAAATTGGTTAAGCAGTTTAGTTTTTAGATCAAAATAACTGGTTTTGTCACAATTAAAGTAGATTTTTTTATGAGACACAATCTTTAAATATGTGTATATGCAATCAAAATTTAATCTAACGTGGTAGTTAATTAGATTGTGAACAGTACTTCTAATACTGATTTGTACATAACAGCTTACAAAGTTTTTGTTAATATTAATTAACGATTATAATAATATTTATAAACATTATCCTCAGTATTATAATAACATTACATAATCATTTCTACAAAGAGCTTACCTTAATAATCGATAAACGTTCTTATGGGTCACTCCCCATAAGAGGGCGCTGTAACTTAGTATTATCACACCAGCCAGGCGATTTGGAAAGGTCTTTTTTCGAGTCTTTCTTCTTTTATACTGATATATTTATTCCCTTAACCATTTCTTATAATAATCTGATGAAGTAGTAATATTTTATGAGTTTTGCCCCGTCGTTACACTCATAACCTAAGAGTTTAATATTAACAAATAACTGCAGATTTTCCAACTGTGTACATCACAAAGTCGCAAAAAGATTCAAATTAAACCCTATATTTTGATAGAATTATGTACTTATAAAGATTTGTTGTATTCTTAGAATAAAACTCTCGTTTACGAGTTGTTTACCTATTTTGCTGAAGTGTCTTGAACTTTTCTTGCCAACAGAATTTAAGTTTATTGAACGCTGTAGGCTCTGAATGATTGATGATGTTGGATTTGCCCAATAGGCAAAGACGGTTTCTATATTGAATTCAACTTGCTAGAGATATGCGCATACTAATAGTAGCATTTAAGTAAAGAAGTCGGTTTATTAGGTACTTTTGTTTACCTGTTAAAGGTAGGCTTTGTGTTTTGAAAATGCATGAAATAATAAAATTTTACGACGCGGATCATCATGAATAATATTTGACTTGATAGAGAAAATATGATATTTGTGATATTTTATGACAAAGTATACAAATGAGTTTCTTTAGGATATCAATTTTGAAGGCAGATTATGCAGTAACAATAGTGTATTTAAAAGAAAAATGTGTAATTTTTACCGACTTCATGAAAAAGTTCTTCAAATCGATTGTTCCTATTGTTTCGAATTTTGGTTATATAGAGGTACTATCTGATATTTTTATTAATTATAAACCGATATTGTTGATGTATGTTTTTTTAAATAATTCCGATTTTTGTCTTAAATTATCCACTACACGAAAAATTTGAATTTATGGTCAATGATCTATTTAAAATGGTTTTCTTAAGATAAATGACCACTACATCAGTGGTGATTATCTAGAGGTCGAAATTCACCTCTAAGTTTCGTGGTAGTTGAATTTTATTTATCAGTATGGGAACTATGTTACTATATCTACACATCGATTATAAGTACCTAAGGTTAATAAATATAAATATATTATTTCCTCATATTGTAAACGTTTTACGTAAGATATTATCTATGGTTCTAGTATAATGTAGGCACCATACTAATTTCTTTTATATACTAACAATTCTCTTCTCCACACCTGAAGTAAAATGTTTCGTTTGTGAAGCGCTATGTTATTGGAAAAATAAAAATAAACTAATTGAAAGACTTGTCGCAATTCAATTAACAGTAAAAACAGACCAATGCCTGTCGGATTGTATCTATGGATTGTATTACAGTACTGAATTGTTTTAATGCGGACTGAGTAAGATTTAATTACAAGAAAGGCTGGCAAGGTAACAGATTAAACGAATTTCTGTGATCCGCGAAAAGTTGACTTGAATTTCTGTGTAACTTTGTTATTGCAAATAATCGTAGGACAAGGGTTGTAGTCCGGTTTAATTTGTATAAAGAGCAGTTACGTGGGTTCATGTCAAAGTTAGGTACCAATATCTTTAGTAATATTAGACATTAGATCAGTATTATTAAAAAAAGGAACTGAACTGAACTGAAAGGTACGGGTTCTACATAAAACTTTGTTCTAGAAAAAATGGCGAAAAAGGTCGCCTAGAAACATGAATAGAAATCACAGATATTACTTACTGTACTGTGTATCTGTATTCTCCATGGTCTGGTAACCTTCATGCTCTGTTATTCCTGAATATGGAATACCTCTTATAACATAAATTACATTAGCACTATCTGTTAAATTTTATGAAACATAAAACCGCGTAAAGCCCCTGGTTTTACTGGCATTCATAGGCTACGGTAACTGCTTACAATCAAGTGAGGTGTATGTTAATTTGTCACTTCAGTACTATAAAAAAATATACATATTGTTCCCTTATGACAGAATACTACCTAAATTCTACCACCTGTGTATAACCACAAAAATAAAAAAATTCTTCAAAAGTATATGCTTAATTTCATTTACAAAATCATCATGATAATGCATTATGTGTAATGTATGAGTAGAACAATCATAAAATATACCAAGCACTTATTTTAATAATAGTGACTATTACAAGCGTAGCAAATCGTAATATTTCCTGGCTCCAGGTGTGGATCTTTTGTAAATGAAAGTGTGACGCAATTTACTTGAATTGTCTCGTTTGTTCCAGCACAATGCACAAATTTATAATCTCAAAATATATATGTATAATGTACCTATATATAGAATTTAATATGTAACAATGTTTTGTTATGTAAACAATGAAATACTTGGCATTTCTGCAGTATCTTTTGTCTTATGGTAGATATGCCCTTAATTATTTTAATATATAAAATTCCCATGTCACCACCTTAGTTTACGCTAATATCCAAAACTGTTCAACCAATTAAAATTAAATTTTGTAATGTTCATTATTTATTTCAACTTGAGACAGGATGATTTTATCCTGATAAAAAACAAAAACAAAACAACGTTTGGAGAATCGGCTACTACTACATAATATTATTTATATATTCCTTAATATTTCTATAAATAAATCAAATATAACAAAACCCTATGTTTTTGCTATAAATTAAAATGGAAAACAGCCGATGCCCCGCCTGAGGAAAGTGATAACAGTCGCCTATAAACATGAACAGCACCATGGACATAACAAAATATTATAGCGCCCTTCATGCCTTGCCATTTTAAGGACCAAAAGGTTATGCCTCTATACCCTGCAATTTTACTTTTATATCCCACCCTCCAAACTGAAACACAGTTATGCAAACTCACTCAGCTGTGTGTTAATCGGTCAGGTTTTTTTTATATTGTACTAGTTTTAATCCACTACTTTGTTTGCGTAATTTAATACCCTATGACTTATTTTAGTACATAGTATGTCTTATATGTATATTCAAAATTTCATTCAAATCCATTTATTAATTCCAAATTGATTAAATAGGAAATAAATATCCAAACATCTCTTGAAACTATAAAAAAGTATGTGTTACTTTATATGGGCCAGTTTGTCGCTTATTTTCTGTAGCGGCCACTATTAATTTTATTGTTATTTTGTAGTAATTGCTACTTAAAGTGAATATTTTTAATTAATGGAAGATATAATATAGTTTTAAATTCTATAAATGTGATGACATAATTTTGTTGTAATTTAAACTGTAATATTGTAGCTAGCTCATATATTGTTTAGATGCACGATCCACATAATTAACATTTGTCACTTATAAATTGATCTTTAAAAATATACTATTTTCAAAAGTAGCCACTCAAAAGGAAATGACGGCAAATTTCCCCTTTTATTATATTAATACGATGTATCAGTTCCACTGCCAAAACTGATTTTTTAACATACATATTTATATACCTATAATGTTTAAGAATGTAAATTATGTATTTGTAAATAATGAAAATCCAATTATATTCATCCTTACAAGGAAATCCAATTTAAAAGAAAAGAACATCTAATTTTCCTTTTTAAAAATATTAAAACTGTTACTAATCTACGGTGTCTACCATATATCAGGCGGCGCGAGTGTGGGCGCGGGCGCAGTGGTGGCCGGTGAGATGGGCTGTGCGTCCCCATGTTCGCGGTGCGTGTGCTGCGGCTGCACGCTGCGGGAGGCGACGGCGCGGCACGAGCAGCGCGTCGCAGCCAACGAACGTTTGGAGCGAGCCAACTTGGAATGGAAACAGGTAAGTGTTTCAAGCAATGTGCTTTTTAATAGGTGATAATTGAAATGGTAACCCTATCCATCATATCGGTTTACGCTGGTGAGATAGTGAAAAATAATAAGTAATGTCAGATCACTCAGCCCGTCGTTGCATATTAACCAAGAATCAATACATTTATTTTCATAGATATATATTAAATAATAATAATATTTAAAACTTAGATTATATAACACATCGAATTTCAAAAATTGAACAACATAGAGCAACATAGAACATCGAGCTTCAAAAATTGGTCAACTTTTTGTCAGCTAATTGTCAAATTAGCTGACTCGATTTTTTATCAGTGTTCTATATATTTATTAATTAAATGTATCTTGACATATTATTTAATACATAAAATAAGTGTTTACGCATTAAAAAGATACAAAAATTATAGAAGTAGACAAAGACAAAGTAATTATAGAAGTTATAAAGGAATCACTCATAAGTATTTATCACTCACAATTATATGAAAAAGTTGACCCGTATTTCTCAAAGCATTTCTATGGAGACTGTCTATATAATCTAAAATCTAAAACTATTCCAAATTTTATATGTATAATAATAGTAGTTGCTGATGAGAGTTCTAAATTCATATCCTCCTTTTTAGTTCTAATAACAACAATAATGATAATCATATTAAAATTCATTTCATATGCACGGTCGAGTTCAATAGGCGTCTCACGATTAGGACTATTTCATCAGCCGGATTATACGGAATAAATCCTATTACGGTTCATGTAAAGCGCGCCTTAACCCTCTGGGACGCTTGTGACAGTTGTAATAGCGTCGAAATGCGAGGTCACAAAAAGGATAATCGTGGTAAATATCTTGAGTTATAATATATAGACTTCTAGTGGCTTATTACCCTCGCTCAGAAGACCTCATCATCATCACAATTTCAGCCCAATACTGAACATTAGGACTTCCTCGTAATCTGCCATAAGGAAGAAAAAGTACCACTAAAAAACATATGTTCGTGATTTTCATTTTGTTGACACAAAAAATTAACACAATTCAATATTGCGTTAATTTTTTGTGGTTCAATCGACTAAGATACTATAATAGTGTCCAGTATTAAACTTTATTTACATTTTAATGTTTCATATTTATTATTACATATTTATTTTGGCATAAGCGTAGAAAGATGATGATGATTACATATTTGTTTTCTTTTTTTAGTATAATATCTACTCTAATATTAATATTGTTCATAATATTTCTAAAATCGTCTTAATTGTTTAAAAAGTTATTATTATTATTGTAATGTCTTGTTTTCTAAAGAAAACTTTTGCTCTCATAGGAACGATAAATTCTTTTTTTCTTATACATTCATCATCATCTGGAAATATAATACTTTGATACTTTTATTTTTATATAATGTTATTTGTTATATGATGCCTTATTAATTTGTTTAATTTAATAGTATAAAAAAAATACAATGAAATACAATTACAAATACAGATATATAAAACACGTACAGGTGAACTTATTGCTTAATGGAGTTTTTTTCAATCAACTTAGAGTATTATATTAGGAGAAACAGTATACTCTGTTATGTCCATGGTATTGCACGTGTCTATAGGCGACGGTTACCACTATTCTATCTATCTATCAGGTGAACCGTCAGCTTGCTTATTATTCTAAGTTGCATAAAAAAGTTACTAGACTACAAGTACTTTCGTTGCACACGAAAGTATGTCTCTGAAGTAAGTCAAATGGCGGTCATTTTCGAAATGATCAAGACGTGCATTCTAAAAATTAATAGACTCAGATTTAGAGGACAAAGAGATTAAAAACCCCGCTTTACACAAATCTAACCCACTAAGTTTAATAGGCCTCTCGAGCTGAAAGCATCATAAGATTAACTAACTTGTACAGTTTCATCAGCCGGTTATACGAAATAAATCCTATTCTGGTTCATGTAAAGCAGAGTTCTTCCTCCTTGATCGACGCATTCTGCTAATATCTTATATGAGAAGTACTAGTTGCCCCAATTTGATGATTCTACTCCTATCTCCTTTATGCCTCTTATGTCCCATAAAAGCGAGTTATTCGCATAATTAAAGATATTAATGCGAGAAAAGTAGGGACTTTTAGATTTTTTTACATAAAAGTGTTGCCTACCTCGGTGAAAATGCTTTATGGCTTTTATGGGAAATGCTTAGAAAAACTACTCATTGTCTCATACTTCTTTCGTCTTTTCGCTACTGCACATTGAGTACAACTCAAATATTACATCTTTATATAGTTGTTTTCGCTTATGGGCGTAATAAGTTTACGAACTAATAAAAAAAAAATTGGCTTTCACATGATTTGTTCCATAATTCCTATAATCTTGAACCATACAAGCATACCTTGAAAAATTACTGTGTTATGATCACTTGTTCAGAGAATAACAGCGTAGTAGATACATGTCGTTAGAAGTCAAGTAAAAAATTCATGTTTCTACTTATTGATCTCGTTACTCCTACGCTAAATGCCAAGTTGTCGCTCACGAAAGCGCTTCTCCCAGCTAATACCAATTTTTTAACGTAAATTGATTTTATCATAATGTACCTGCCCTTAATGGTCTAGGAAAAAAGAAATTAATGATATTGTGGTGACATTAAAAAATGTGTGTTTATCTAAAATAACTTTCAAAATTAAAAGTAAATATTGTTGTATTTATATTATTATATTATGCTTATATTTGAAAGGCAGCCCTTGCTAAGAGTTACAACGCAGAGTCTGCTATGAAATGTAATGGTGTTATAGTATTTGATATTATAATGTTTAGATAGACTTTTAGATTATTATATTTGATAGATATTAACTTAGATTTATTTTCGCACGATTTTTTTATGTTACCCGAAGCCTCACTCATTTCGTATAAAATAATTTTAACTCCAATTTTACTGTTTACGTAGAAAAATTAAAACTAAATAACTATTTACATTTGCTTGTGATTTTTATAATATTGTTAATTAAAATTTTACATGCCAAAACTGACTGAATGTCTAGTGTATATAATAGCAGCGTTTTACCTGAAATAAAACGCATATTAAAATACTTACCTCACTGGAAGCTTTATACATTGAGAGAGCATTTCCGTTTCGGTCGTTAGCCAGTCCTAAATTATTATTATTATACCGGAATTTCCGGCTCAGTGGCGACACCTGGCGGGGATGCACGATTTTTACTTTTGTAAAAATGTGCTTCCTATCGTCATTGACTCAATGTTTCACCAGGCAAAATAAAATTAAAGCTTCCAGTGAGGTAAGTATTTTAATATGCGTTTTATTTCAGGTAAAACGCTGCTACATATATTACACATTATACATTGAGACCTGTTTGTTATTGCCTGGTGACGCCACTACTTCTTTGTTTAATTAAATTTTAATACACAAAGGTACAAGGTGGGCTTAAAGCTCAGGACTTGTGAAGCATTAAGTTATCGAAATAGAAACTAGGGGTGTATATGCAATGCCATACCTGCTTGCTCTATATAATTAGATACTTTGAATAATAAGTAATTGAAACGCCAATGTGATAATGAGTAGATTACAGCAAAAATAAACTCGTCTTTATTTTATATATAATTAGGTAACATAATAAATATATGTAATATTTATTATGTTCTTCATGTACTTGTGCTAACAAAATTAAGTATAACTAAATTATAATGATTTTATTAATTATTAGTCTGTACCAAACGAAACCCATGATAAATCAAGTAATTGGATTAAACAATCGAGTAATGGTATCAGAATTATCGCTCCTAATAACTTCTCTTCTATAAAACTGTTGGAACGTATTAACAGATTGCCAATTCCCACGAGCTAGAATATCTTCAACAGAATGATTCTCTAGCCAACTTTTAGAGGCTACAGCTGATCGAACGCTCCCTGGAGTAGCTGCTATATCGGCTTCCTTTAACAGCGTTCTGATCCATCCAGCTATTACGGTTCGTGAAGCAGGCTTGGCAACACCTAATTGTAATGAATAAATTAAAGGACTTTGTAGCATCACGTCTTTCTTTTAACAAAGATATAGTTCTCTCTATCCAAAATAGCGGATTTAGATTACGGTTATCGGGATTTAAAAGTAATTTCCAACCAGATTGTCTATAAGTACTGCTGTCAGTTTTTGAGCCAAATTGGGGCCAAAAAATTATATTATCATCAGATTTTACACAGTAAGGTGGATCTATCCTGAGTAACGTTAAATCATGAATACGTCTGCCTGAGCATAGTAGTAACAAAATGGCAGTATGTCGTGATACTTGAAATATATTATTCATATCTATTATGCAATTGTTTAGGAATTGACACAACTTACTGACATTCCAAATGGGTGGTTTACAAGTTTTTGGATTTTTTAGGGAAATTGCTTTTAAAATATGTTTTACTAGAACATGTGAACTTAGTTGACAAAACATATCGGTATTACATAAAGTGGCAACAACTGATTTGTGTAGAAGAATCGTGTTATAAGATAATTTATCTACTAAATGTAGATCACATAAAAATTGAGCTAACTGTGATCCAGTTGGATTTGTTGGATTGATACTTTTATTTCTACACCAAGAAATCCAGCGTGCCCATGCTGTTTGGTAAGTTTTCAAAGTAGACTTACGCCATGAGTTTTTGAGTAATGAGCGTTGTTCAGAGTTCCATGATTCTATCGCTGAAGACCACCCCCACATTTCCACACCTCCAGTACAATCTCATCTACTTTCGGAGGTGGGAGGCCTGTCGACGTATCGACTAGATGTTGGTTGAGGTTCCTCAGAGTAAACGGTGCTGATAGCGCGCGGGTTTTCAGATCCGCTCGCCAAAATACTTTTTCCCACCGAGGAACTACTAACAAAAATGTCCCCGTCGACTGATTTAAGTGAGTTAAGTTAACTTTGGGAACCAAATATGGGGGTGGAAATACCCATGCTATTGGATAATTCCATGGGACGCTGAATGCATCGTGAAATAAGGCTTGATGATCGG